TTTATTTGTATTTCCGGCCTAGCCAAGTGACTCGGCCAGGTTTGCGCTCTATCCACATCTGGCCGAGGGGCCGAGGGGTGTGCGGACCTTCGGAGAGCCTTCCATCATGGCATACTCGCCCCAAACTCGGCGGACGAGGATAATGAAAGTAGGCGCTCCATTCTTGTCTGATAGATTTAATCCGGCCATTGCTAACTCATAAGCCGTCCAACAAACAGGCGGATGGACGGACAGAAAGAGACAGACAGACAGACAGACAGAGGCAGAGAGAGGAGAAGAGAACAAACAAGAGAGCCGGATAGAGGGAATGAGAAAGATTGTATGCAAGAGGGGAGAAACAGGAAGCAAATAGACTGCACGTGCATGTCGCACACTGGCCGGCTGTCGCCAAGGCGACTCCAGAGGCAGGAGTTTGCAACCACCTGGTGACTTAAATGACTGAGTTGACCGATATTTTGACGGAAGCATGTGCACCGGGCAACCGGCGTATCATGTTACCACCTCGAAGCGAGGGTGCCCCAAATGAGGCAAAGTTTATGGACTTTTATGCCTTGTCGTGGCTAAACGCAAAAATGGTCCATTTTTAATGTCAACATTGTGAATGGCAGAAGGACCATCCATCCAAGCACGGCTGAACCGACAAAACGGGTCCGATTTTATAGCCAGACCCGGCGGAAGTTGGTGGGCCCAGATCCCAAGCCGGAGTCGAGTAGACTCGCCGGCCAGCAATAGGGGGCCGAATGAACCGGTCGACAATGGGCTTTCTGGTTGCGAACCCGTTCTACATCTGCATAGTTGCCATGCCTCTATTCAAACGGTAGATCTTTACGATTGGCTCCGGCGGGATGACATCGCGTCCGGCCGACCGAGTAAATAAACATGACCAACGTGACGGATAAAGGCGAAACGGAAGTGCAGGGCAGGTGAAGTATAAACATGCGTCTGCGCCTCGGTCAGTGGGCAAAAAGACGTTCGCCCAGCCGAGCCGGATGATGTGCCAGTTTGTAGACAAAGGGGTCTTCTTCTTTGACCCTCGGCGAAGCCAGGTCTCCAATCCTCTACTGCCATCCAAGACCCCAACAGTGTAGTATAGAGACAACTCCAACTAGGCGTTGCGGTTATAAACACGAATATGCTTGCGCATGTGTGCATGTGTGTGTATGTGTGCTTTTGTATGAGTGTGTTTACCTCGACTGTGTTTATGTGCATCCGAACGTAATTGTGAGCCATAATAGGGGCAAAAACGGTATATATATATGTATGTGTGTTTTTGTGTGTGTGTGTGGTAAGTGGGCCTCGGAACAGGTGCCGGCAGCAAAACACACAGTGAAGGGTGTGGCCAGGTGTTGCGTCCGCGCTCAAGTGAGCCGTCATGGCCACAGCTTGGCCATACCTCGGGTTGTCATGACTGATCTGTCACTGATACACAATCAGCAGCCCAACAACACGACATACTGGCAAGCCCATCGACAGAAGGCAAAAATGGGTACATATAAGATACCCTCAGCTTGGTCTTATCACATCTTTGGA